GTGGCCTCCCCTGACAGGGAAGGGCATGAGGGGGAAGGGCATGGCCCAGAGCAGGCCACATGATATAATAAAGGAGAAGTACGGGACATCTGCCAGGGGCAGGGAGCAAGCAGCTTGACATGGGGCCACTGAGGGAAGCAGGTGACAAGGTGGGAGCCAAGGGACAAGGGTCTTGGGGTCTGAATTTTCCTCAGTAAGCAAATGGGAGCCAATGATGGTTGTAGAGCAGGAGAGTAGTGGGTCTGGGCCCATAGAGCAGCTTGTGGATCGGGGAGGTGGGAGGGTTAGTTGGTTCCTGAGAGCCTGTGTGGGTGATGGAGGGGAGGGAGCTGAGGCAGCAGATCAGAGGTGCTCCTGCACATTCCCCTGCCTGCCTGCCTTCTTACCTTTTCCCTCCCTTCATTCCTCCCCCTCTTCCTCCCAGCAGTGCTTTCTGAGCACCCAGGAGGCTGCTGGATGCTAGGAGGACACGATGACCCTCGAGAAGCCTGCCTGAGGCTCCAGGCAGGCAGCGTGCAGACCCAGTGGCTGCAGCCTCAGCTGTGGGGAGCAGCAAAGGCGCCTGAAACCAGGCCGCTCACAGGATGTTGGAAACCGCAGGGGCCCGGTGAGTATCTTGTCACATGAAAGGGGCCAGAAGCTTGCTCTGCCTCCCTCCATGGCTCACGGGGGATGGATGCAGAGCCCGAGAGGACACAGCCTCCTCCATGGGATCTCGGGGAGCAGCCCAGCCTGGCCCAGCCCATGTTCCTCCCTCTCAGAGGAATGTCCATCAGTCCACGCAACGCTGGTCCTGTTCCCCACTCTGCCAGCTCGGCTGACAGCCGGGTGGGCCATCCTCCTGGCTCCTGGGTTGGGGGTATGATGGGGGCTCCCTAGCTGTTCTCACTCAGGGGCTTTCTGTCCACCCAGAGCTGGGGTCAGCCGGCCAGGCAGCAACTTCCTAACTCAGCAACAGCTCAAGGCCCCGCCTGCAGGCTCTTTCTCTGTGAGCCCCCTTGCCTGGGCCAAGGCTGGGCTGTAGCTCCCCTCTGCCTTGAGGGGCCATGTCCAAGCCATGCCAAGTTGGGGCCACCAAAAGTGAGGCAGGCCTGGAGGCCCAGTCACATTCAGTGTGGCATGGACATCCCCCTCGCTGTTTTCTGATCTAGTTGGGTTACCAAATGAAAGTTCTGCTCCTAGCTTTTTTTTCCCCCCTTTAGAAATTTTAAATGTCGTTTTCAAAATAGAGACTTGGTCTCACTATGTTGCTGAAGCTGGTCTCAAGCTCCTGGGCTCAAGTGATCCTCCCACTTTGACCTCCCAAAGCACTGGGGTTACATGTGGGAGCCACCGTGCCCGGCCTGCCAGCTTCCTTCTCAGTCACTTCCGGAAGGGACTCCCTCCCGCCTTGTCCACGAGGAGGCCCCACTGCACGCCAGCTTCACTGCAGGTGCTGTGAGAAGGCGTTTTCCTTTTCCGTCTGCCAGCTGGACCTAGTTTTGTGCTGCCTGGGTCAGCCTCATCTCTGTGGCAGGGCCGTCTACTCCCAGATGCCACCATGCCTTTGTAGGTTCCCACAGTGGCTCCTTCAGCCCCTTTCCCTCTGGAGGAATCAGCTGCTTCACAGCTTGTTTCAGGACAACGACATGCTGCATTGTACAGGTTCAAGGCCAGGACCCGGTCCCCTGGCTGGCGGCACTGCATAAACTGAGCCTCTGCACAGCGCTGGCCCCTGTCCGCCCAGGGAGCATCCAGCAGCCCCAACTGGATCCAAGGTCACGGTGAGGTTCAGATCCAGTCCCCAGGCCATGCTTCCCCCAGCCTTGGGCTCACACCGCACTCAAGGCCCCTAGGCCAACTTGTTAACTACTTGGAACTCCTCCCCCAGCCAGCCTTTACCAGCCTTAAAGTTCCGAACTCTTAAGTCATGGGACACAATGAATGCATCCAAACCACAAACCCTGTGAGGCCAGACAAGGGCCTCGAGTCCCCCACCTTCCCCACCCCGTCACTTCCCGAACACCAGGGAGGGGGTCAGCCCAAGGCAGCAGCGCATGATGCCTTCCAAAGCAGGCCAAAGGCCAGCCTCAGATTGATCACAGCTGATCTCAGGCCCTCAAATTGTCCGCCCTGGGCTCTGGAAGCTGCGAGGCCTGGGCCTGCCCACCAGGTCACATGCCAGGACACAGCATGAGTGCCTGAAACCACATTTCACTCCCTAAATGCTGTTTGCCCAGAAGACGCAGCTCACAACCTCTCTTCCAAGAGGCTGTCCCAACACGGCTCTTCAGGCCACGGGAGCCTGACCCCCCACCAGGTGGGTAGGCCAGCGTCTGTCTCCTCCACTGGACTGGACGCACTGGTAAAGGCAGATGCTGACTCGGTGAGTTATGGGGTGGAGTGGGCTCGGCGGGGATCTGAATCTGCTTTAGTAGGAACCCTCTGTTGAGGCAGCTGCTGGAGGTGCTGGCGCCCCACTTTGAGGAGCAGGGGCTGGAGCTTGGCACCCGGCCAGGGCTCAATTGGATGCAGGTGTGTGGACATCTCTGGTCTAGGAACTGAAATGAGACAGCAGGCCCAGGTTACCCCGACGCAAAGAGCAGGTGCAAGGTAAGGGCTTCTGCAGGTGCAGGGTGGGGGGCCAAGGGGCCGCGGTGTCTCTAGCTCCTGCCTGTTTCCCTCGTGATCTTCCTGGAGTGCAGCAGCCAGGAGGTTTTAATAAAGCCATTTTGGTTTATTGCACATCATATAAAACTGACTGCACCGCATTTGAAACAGATGAGGACATTCACAAGGATGGAGAGACCGTGGTTTCCTTTCCTGGCCCTCGCCTTCCTCCACACTCCTCCTGAGGTTGGAGGCAGCTTTAACCCAAATGGATGGAACCCGCTAGTGAACATGCTTGTTTTGGGGACATCAGAGTTGTTCTGGGCCCTTGTGCACTGTCCAGTTTGGAGACTGCTGGTGACAATGGCAAGTGTCCTGGCAGCCTGGCTGGGCCAGGAGAGTTGTATCTGGGCCGCGGCAGTGAGGGGAACCCGAGGACACCTGGTCTCAGGCTGGTGGTGGCTGGGGTTGGCCTGAGTGCTGACGAGGACTGGCCTGGGCCACTAGGGCAGGCTGGACCTGATGTCCATCTCAGGACAGACGTGTGGGGCAGCTGTGCCCAGGACTGGTGGGCTCAGAGGGTGGCAGATGTGGCAGAATAGGCCTTGCCCTGGCCCGCTGGTGATGGCCCACTGCCCCCTGGGTTAAAGGGAGACACACTGGGCCAGGTGAGGTGGCTCACACCTGTAATCCCAGCATTTTGGGAGGCTAAGTCGGTTGGATTGCCTGAGCTCAGGAGTTCGCGACCAACCTGGGCAACATGGTGAAACCTTGTCTCTACTAAAATACAAAGATATTACCGGGGCACGGTGGCATGTGCCTGCAGTCCCGACTACCCGGGAGGCTGACAAGAGAATGGCTTGAACCCGGGAGGCGGAGGGTATGGTGAGCCGAGACCACGCCACTGTCCTCCAGCCTGGGTGAGAGAATGAGACTCCATCTCCCAAAAAAAAAAAAAAAAAAAACAAAAAGGGAAACACACTGGGCACAGACAGAGGAAGGGGCTCAAGTCTAAATTCAATGGATGACACGCTCCAAATGCCACTCTGGACAGCAGAGAGCTGAGGAGGAAGCCCTGGATCGGGCTGTGGTCGTCGTCACAGTGCACAGCTGATGTGGTCTCAAGGCCCAGAAATGCCTGTGGAGGCCTGCCCCACACTGGGTGTCCTAGGTCCTCCCGGAAGATGGCAAGGGTGGGGGCTGCTGATGGCGGGGTGGGGTGGGGTTGGGGACAGCCTGTCAGTTGCGCTCTGCCTTCTTCTTGCCCCGAGGCTGCCGCCTCCTGCCTTGGAGCTTCTCCCTGCGGGTGGCGGCGGTGGTGAAGGTGATACAGTGGGTGTCCAGGAAGTCCAACAGCCTGCCCGAGGACACATGGAGGCCATTCTGCTTCAGCTCGGCCTTCAGCTCCCCGAGCTCAAAGGGCTGGTACAGCAGCACCTTCTGGTACAAGGCCGGCTTGGAGCGGATGTAGCATCTCAGCGCCTCGTCCATGTCTGCCACATGCACGGCTGCCTGCGAGGCACTGACCTCGTCCTCGCCCTCCTCCTCTTCACCTGCAGACTCAAATGCCGCTCCAAACTCACAGGAGGAAGAACTGAAAAAAGCCAGACCCGGACATTTTGCAACCCCTTTCTCTCTGGCCCCTCAGACCAGGAGCCTCTTAAAGGAAGGAGGGTATTTCTATAGCTCCCATGGAGCCTGGCCTGTGGCACAGACGACCCCCAGGGTGGCAAGATGGGCCTGAGAGATCCCTGCAGGCTGCTCCAGTGAGATCCCGCCCAGCCAGAAATATCCAGCATGCAGGGCAGGAACCAGGAGGCCTGCACAGGGGTGGGAGTCAGAGAACCGGCCCTCTAAACCCACCTGGCTTTCCCATAGGTAATATCCAGAAGGTGATAGGGGTGTTTGAAGATTGGCCATTAGGCCTCACTTGTGCCAACCCTCACACCCACGGGCCAGAGAATACATGAGGCCACTGACCCCATCGCGCCCATCCGGTTACCTCTGTGAGCTCAACGAGCTGTCACTGCCATCCACAGAGGTGGCCACGGATTCCTGGGAGGCTGGGAGCTGGGCGTCATCGTCAAGGCCTGGAGGTGCCTCTTTGACGGGTGACCTGCTCAGGGGTGTGATGCTTTCAGGATGCTTCTTTTGATGTCGGGGGCCCTTGGTCTTAGCAGGTCCCTTGGGCCTATGGGCCTCAGGTCCTGTGGTGGCCACCTGCTGTGCATGGACTGCTGCCCTTGAAGGCTTGCAGGTCTGGGAGGCGAGGGTCTGGCAGTGAGGCGCCTGCAGCAGCACCTGTGAGGACTGGCTCTCGTCCTCGGAGTCTGAGTCCAGGGTCTGGTGCGTGTACTGGAATATCTCCTTCAGCTTCAGAACCATCTGGCGTTTAGGCAGAGGGCGGACTCCAAACCTGACAGAGAGACAGGTGGACTTCAGGTCCCACCCACAGGGCTGGCCCACGCTCCACACTGTTCTCCATCATAGCAAAGAATGATGCCCAATGCATTCAGCGAATGGCTTGTGTGACAAACCATAGATGCCTGACTTCTGTGAGCATCCGAGGTTAGTGTCTCCAACTAAGCTTACTCTGATGATTCCAAATGAAACATGCCAGCCGGGTACAGTGGCTCATGCCTACAATCCCAGCAGTTTGTGAAGCCAAGGCAGGAGGATCACTTGAGTCCCGGAGTTCAAGGCCAGTCTGGGCAACATAGCAAGACCCTGTCTCTACAAAAACTACAAAAATTAGCCAGGCATGGTGGTGTCGCCTGTAGTCATAGCTATTAGGAGGCTGAGGTAGAAGGATCACTTAAGCCCCAGGAGGTTGTGGCTACAGTGAGCCAAGATCACGTACTCCAATGTGGGCAACAGAGTGAGACTCTGTCTCCCAAAATAAAATGAAAAATAGACAAAAGATACACTGCTCCCAGCTCTGAGGGATGGTGGCAGCAGCAGCCTCCCTGGGTGCCTGAGTGGAAGAGTACCGTCATATGGATGTGAGAGTTCAATGTTCTTTTAAAAAAATCAGGCTGCCTCACTCAGGCTGCTCTGGCTAGGGGCTGCTTCTATCCACAAGGAACATGGGGACCTGCTGCCCATGGGTGACATGCCGGAGTCTGTGTGTTGGCTCCCTGGGAAGGGTGCAGAGAGGACTGGGCAGCTCACCTCAGCACCCAGCAGTCATGCCTGCTCCCCAGGAGCAGACTGCAGACCCTTCCTCCCAAGCCCGGGCCAGCTGCATCCACCAGACCCCAAGGGACGACGTGGGGGACCCTTCCACCCGCAAGCCTGTGAAACCTGGTTACTTGTGGGAGGGAAAAGCCCACTGTGGGCAAGCTTGGAAGACCACCAACCTATCCAGTTCCTTCTTCAGCACCGGGGTCTCCATAATGGAATACTGTGGCATTGGAGTGATGGGCACTTTGGGGGGCAAATTCTTCTTCCGATTAGCACCTTCTGGGTAAAAGAAAAAAAGCACACGTTTTAGCATGAGGGACACGGATTTCCCACGTGTGATCCCAGTAGCGTCACCAAGAGGAATACTGCACTTGAAGATAACCCAAGCATCACTTTTTCTCCATGAGAGCAACAACGGCCACCCCTTCCCTGTTTGGAGCTGCGCTTCCCGTTGACAGCACTGGGGACACGCACTGAGGGCCACACCTTGTATAACACAGATGCCGGCTGAACAGGGCTCCTGGGGCTACTCAACCCAACAGCACAGCACGTGACTATATCTTACACATTTAAACTTAAAAATGTCTGACTCACAGTGACAACTTGAGACAATGGGCCACACTGATACTCTTCAAACAGGCTTGGCTGGGTGCAGTGGTTCAGAACGCCTGTAATCCTAGCACTTTGGGAGCCCGAGGCGGGCAGATCATGAGGTCAGGAGTTCCAGACCAGCCTGGCCAAGATGGTGGAACCTTGTTTCTAGTGAAAATAGAAAAATTAACTGGGCATGGTGGCCTGTACCTGTAATCTCAGCTACTTGGGAGGCTGAGGTTGCAGTGAGCTGAGATTGCACCACTGCACTCCAGCCTGGGCAACAGAGCAAGACTCCATCTCAAAAAAAAGAACAACAAAAAAAAAAAACCAGGCTTAGATATCAGTTTTGTTTTTTAAAAATAATTCATCAATTAAAAAAACCCAGTTATTTACAATGTAATAATGAAACAGCAACAACAACAAAAACACCCAATTAAAAAAATGGGCAAAGAATGTGAACATACATTTCTCCAAAGAAAATGTACAGAATGGCCAATAACCACATAAAACGCTGCCCGACATCATTAGTCATCAGGGAAATTCAAGTCAAAACCACAACGAGATACCACTGCACGCCCGCTAGGACGGCCATAGCAAAAACACAGAGCGCTTGGGCAACATGGCAAAACCCCATCTCTACAAAAAAAAAAAAAAAAAAAAAAATACAAAAACAGCTGGGTGTGGTGGCCCAAGCCTGTAGTTCCAGCTACTTGGGAGGCTGAGGTGGGAAGATCACCTCAGCCAGGAAGGTTGAGGCTGCAGTAAGCTGTGAACACACCACTGCACTCCAGCCTGGGCAGTGGAGCAAGACCTTGTCTCAAAACAAACACAACTACAACAACAAAAAAGAATAACAAGTGTTGGTAGAGATATAAAACGGTGCAGTCACTTTGGGAAATAAGTCTAGGAGTTCCTCAAAAAGCTACACACAGTTGCCATATGACCCAGCAATTCCACTGGTAAGTATAGAACTAAGAAGAATGAAAACTTACGTCTACACAAAAACTTGCATGTGAATGTTCCTAAGTAGCATTATTGGCAACCAAAAAGTAAAAACAACCCACATGTTCATAATGGATGAATGGATAAGCAAAACTGGCATGCCATTAGTGGGGTATTAGTAAGACATAGAAAGGAATGTATGCCCAAAGCAGGGGCAACAGAGCAAGACCCTGTCTCTACAAAAAAAAAAAAGCCAGGCATGGTGACACCTGCCTGTAGTCCCAGCTACTCAGGAGGTTGAGGTGGGAGGATCACTTGAGCCTTGGAGGTTGAGGCTGCAGTGAGTTGTGATTCTGCCACTGCACTCCAGGCTGGGTAACAGAGCAAGAACGTTGACTCAAAAACTGGCATTGGCTCAGGCCTGTAATCCCATCAATTTGGGAGACCAAGGTGGGTGGATCACTTGAGGTCAGGAGTTTGAGATCAGCCTGGTCAACATGATGAAACCTTGTCTCTACAAATACAAAACAAATTACAGGTGGCAGGTGCCTGTAATCCCACCTACTCAGGAGGCTGAGGCGGGAGAACTGCTTGAACCAGGAGGGTGGAGGTTGCAATGAGGCAAGATTGCGCCACTGCACTCTAGCTTGGGCAACAGAGCAAGACTGTCTTAAAAAACCAAAACCAAAACCAAAACAGAATAAAAAGGAATAAAGTACTGATCCATGCTACATGTATGAATCTTGAAAACTGTATGCTAACTGAAAGAAGCCAGACACAAAGGGCCACATAATTGGTAATATATGGCTCAGTTTATATGACATGTCCAGGATAAGCAAATCTATATAGACAGAAAGTAGATTCTTGGTTGCCAGGCCTGGGGGAAGGGGAAGGGGAGAGACCGCTCATGGGTTTGGGATTTATTGTTGAGATGATGAGAATGTTCTGGAATTAGAGTGGTGGCAATGGTATAACTGTGAATGGACTAACAACCACTGAACTGTCCATTTTAAAAGGGTAGTTTTTTCTTTTTCTTTTGAGATGGCGTCTCGCTGTGTCACTCAGACTGGAGTGTGTGCAGTGGTGTAGTCTGGGCTCACTGCAACCTCTGCTTCCCCAGTTCAAGCAATTCTCCTGCCTTAGCTTCCTGAGTAGCTGGGACTAAAGGCACATGCTACCACGCCCGGCTAATTTTTTACAATTTTAGTAGAGACAGGGTTTCACCGTGTTAGCCAGCATGGTCTCGAACTCCTGACTTTGTGATCCGCCCACCTCGGCCTCCCAAAGTGCTGGGATTACTGGCGTAAGCCACTGCACCTGCCCCAAAAGGGTAGATTTTATGGTGTGTGAATTATATCTAAATAAAGCTATTACTTTAAAAAATAATAGGCGACGCAAGGTGGCTCATGCCTGTAATCCCAGCACTTTGGGAGGCCGAGGCGGGTGGATCACCTGAGGTCAGGAGCTGAAGACCAGCCTGACCAACATGGTGAAACCCCGTCTCTACTAAAAATAAAAACTTAGCTGGGCATGGTGGCCGGTGCCTGTAGTCTCAGCTACTTGAGAGACTGAGGCAGGAGAATCTCTTGAACCCAGAGGTGGAGTTTGCACTCCAGCCGGGTGACACATGAGGAACAGAGGGACTTTGGGTTCTTCTCTCTTTTATGACCATTTTATCATCATGGAGCCCTTTGAGCGCAAATGTCTCCTGAGAAAGGCAGATTCTTCCTGTGGCCACAGCGACATCCTAAGGCCCACCTCAGATCTGCTCTCCAGCCTCCAGCTGTTCTCACAGCACTCCCTGGGAACTGGTTAGAAATGCAAATTACTGGTCATCCTTTGGGGCAGGCTGGGCCAGGTGTGCTGTAAGACGCTACCCAAAAAAAAAAAAAAAGAAGCTATCCAGGTGCTTCTGAAGCCCGAGGGCGGGGGCACACTGTCAGTGGCCTCATTAGTCTGGATTTCCAGTAGCAGCACCGAGGGGAGGGGCCGACACCTGGGGCTCTGACTCTCCCCCGGGACTGAAATGAGCAGGAAGGTGGCATCCCTGCACCTGGGGGGACCAGAAAGAATGGGCCTCATAGCCTTTCACGCTTGCCCCACCTGTTTCTTTTCTTAATTGAGGTGAAAGTCACATAAATCGTAAAGGGAACAATTCAGTGGCAGTAAGTATTCACAGTATTGTGCAACCATCACCTCTATTTCCAAAACATTTTCAGCACCCCAAAAGGAAACCCTGTACCCCATAAGCTATCATTGCCCCTCCCTCCAACCCAGGGCAACCACTAACCTGCATTCTGTCTCTCTGGATTTGCCTATTGTAAACATTTCCTATCCATGAACACAGACAGTACGTGACCTTCGATGTCTGGCTTCTCTCACCTGGCAGCGTGTTTCCCGGGGTGTCCACGCTGTGGCGTGTGTCAGTGCCTCGCTCCTTTGTGGCTGAACACTGTTCTGTTTTCTAGATGGACCACGTTTGGTTTCCCTATTCACCTGCCGATGGGCATTTGGGTTGCTTCCACCTTTTGGTGACTGTGAATAGTGCTGCTATGAACATGCGTGTCTGAGTCCCTGTTTTTAATTCTTTTGGATACACAGGCAAAAGTGGAATTGCTGGGTCCTGCAGCCATTCTACAGTTAACATTTTAAAGAACCACCCTGGCCCAATCTTAAGGCACGCCAATACTTGTTGAACGAGTCTCGGCCTTTGGAGGTGCTGGCTCCGTGTTCTGGAGAGGGGTCCACAGACGTGGATTTTTAACACATGCCCAGGTAAGCACTAGTTCCAGGCAAGTTTGGGAAACCCTGACTTACTGGCTTAGTAGGTGGAGGGGAGTCTGGAAGGCTGCAGAAGTGTCGTGCCTCAGGTCAGCAGGCATTCAGCACCACCTGCCCCTGGGTCGCATGACCACCCACTTAGCGTGAAAGAGTCAGAAAGACAGTCCCCCTCCCCAGCTCTCCCAGCTACTTACTGGGCGTCTCTAACACTTTGGGCTTCTGAGCTCCACTGGTGCTTAGCGTCTGGGTGGGAGGAGGGGTCTCTGGAGGCCTCTGCTCTTCCCAGTCCCAGTCATCCCACAGAGCTGAATTCAGAGCACTCAGCCTGCTGTTCCCCAGGGAGCCCGCACCCGAGGACTTCTCTTGCGATTTCCGATGGGCAGTGCAGCTTCCTTGGATGGGAGTGGTATCCAGGAGTCCCGGGGAGCAGCAGTCACAGCTGTCCGCAGCCTCCTTCAACCTGAGGCTGGGGCTGCTGGTGCTCAGGTGGCCGGTCCGCTCCAGGTTCCAGTGGTCAATGGGAATTGGCGAGAGGGGCTCCATGTGCCAGCAGCCATTGTCAATTGGAACTGGGGGGTCACTGTGCAGTGGGGGGCTGCTATTGGCCTGATAGGAGGCCACCTCCTGCTCATCGTCACTGTCCCCGAGTTCCACGACTTCAGTCACTGTAGTCTGATTCGGAAAGCTTGGCCCAGGTGGCGAGTGTTTCAAGAACCGCCTGCTGAAGTGGGTGCGGCCCCCTGAGATGGGACATGGAGCCAGCGGAGAGGAGTGCAGGTGGCCCTCGGGGTAGGGACAGGAAGGACTTCTGTGGCCTTGCCTTCTGCCGTCGGAAGTTCCTGGAGAGACAGGAGTGCAGCATGAGGACGGTGTCTGGGGCCTGATGACCGAAAGCTTCTGAGTGGCTTCGTTCCCTTCCCTGTTTCCTACCGAGGGCCTGGGCATGTGCTGAGTCACCGCCTCCATGGCCGGCCCACTCCTGAGGCTGCTGATTTGGGTCTGGGAAGAACAGTCTCGGCTTCTGCCTGCCAGCGGGGTGGCGGGCACCAGCCATGAGGTGTCTGTGGTGCTGCCCTCTTCGGGGCTGCTCTCACGGTCACAGGACAGCCAGGGAGCCCCTCTGCTGCCCCAAGAGCCCCGATTCCCTGGCAGCCCTGCCTTGTCCTCCCGCTGCAGTGAGGCTTCCCTTCCCGGTGGGCTCTGGGAAGGTTCCTGATCCGCATCAACGTCAATGATGGAGAACAGCTCACAGGATCTAGGGCTAATTTCTAGAGCTTTCTTTTCTTCCAGGGGATCACTAAAAACGGACTTCTTTTTGGATTTTTCCAGCTCCAGCTCTTCATCTGAGTCCAGTAAGAGGATGACCTCATCTTCTTTGTTCAGTTTGGATGAAGATTTCTGAGATCTGGAACTTGAATGGTCAGGATTTGACTGGGTTAGGTCAATTGACAGAGATTTTTCTGGGGACATCAGGACCCCCTTATCTCTGCACTCCAGCATGGACAGACACTCTTTGCCTTTCTGGCCTGGCTCGTTAGACAGCGTGAGGACACTCCTCTCCCTTTTCTGCTTTGATGGCACAGCTGGAGACGGCGAGGTTGGGGACCCCACCTGGGATGTTCTGCTGCGGGACCGGGGTGTCGACAGGGCTGACCCGCTTGTACGATGAGGGTGGTGAGACTGGCAGGGACTCCCGCCCTGGGGAGGCCCGAGTAGGAAGCAGCACGGGTGCGGTGGAGACGCCTGCCAGGGAGCCAGGCGATGAGAAACCTCCAGCCCCCTTTCCCTGACAGTGCCACCCTGTTCCTCGGGCTCACTGGTTATTTGTGACGGCTCTGAGAACGCTCCCTGAGTTGAAGAGAAGAGCTGTTCGTAATCCCTGGCATCATCTGAATGTGGAAGGGAGCTTGCTTTTCTCTCTGCCTGGCAGCCCCCGGAAGGGCTGGAGCAGCTGGAATGGCCAAGCGCCTCATCCGGCGCCTCCTCCTCAGGGGCCTCCAGTCCCAGTGTCCCTGAGCACTGGCCCTGGGGCAGTGAGAGGGTGGACTGTCCCACCTTCTTCCAGGTGGTGGGGGCCTCATCTCCCAGCCCCGATGGCTCCACCTCCTCTACCTTGTCCTGCTGTTCCTGCACCTGGACACTTGCAAGGAGCTGCCCAGAGCCCAGACTGTCCCCCACCAGCCAGTCAGCGTCCTCGCCAGTACCCGATGCTCCTACTTCCTGGAGCAGCTTTCGCTGAGTAGCTGCAAATTCATAAATTTCTTCCATTTCTTCTTCATTCACTTTTTCTTGATCTTCTTCATGGTCCTTAGATTTCAACAAAGTCTCCACTTCCTCCTCTTCATCTGCCCACATTGACCTCAAGAGTTCCTGGAAATTCTCCGCCCTGCTTTGGCAATTCTCGGCTTCCTTCTCCTCCCATGGTTTGCCCTCCGAATCTGTGGCAGCGGGCACCTGTTCACACAGCTGAACAAGCTCGCTCACGCCAAACCTGCAACACAAAACACCGGGAGTCATCGCCACTCTGCATGGAGGTAGGCTCCGGGCATCCCCGGGGGGTGGGGGACCAGAGCAAGAGTCTTCACCAGGAGGAATGACCGTGACCCATGCCCTGCTCCCTCTGAAGGCGGCGCCCACACTCCTGCCCAGAAACAGCCAGGCCACTTACTTCCAGACACCAGAGACTCAAGACACTTAGACTACAGCTAACTACAGCTTGCTAACTACAGCTGCAGACATAAAGGGGTGTGTTGGGCTGAGTGTGAGGTAACAGGGATTGGCAAGGCTGCAAAACTGGGGAGTCTGTGCTGCCTCAGAGGCCCCCAAGACACAGCGTCAGGGCCAGGGATGGTGGCTCATGCCTGAAATCCCAGCACTCTGAGAGCCAAGATAGCAGGCTCGCTCAAGGCTGGAAGTTTGAGATCAGCCTGGACAACACAGAAAGTCTCCATCTCCACAAAAAAATATAGAAATTAGCCTAGGAGTTCAAGGCTGTATTGAGCTGTGATCATGCCATTGCAATCCAGCCTGGGCAACAGCAAGGGACCCTGTCTCTAAAAAGATAAAAAAGGCCAGCACAGTGGCTCATGCCCATAATCCCAGCACTTTGGGAGGCTGAGGCAGGAGGATTGCTTGAGGCTAAGAGTTCAAGAAGAGCCTGAGCAACGTAGCGACACCCTTCTCTCCAAAAAATAAAAAATGAATGAAAAGACATGGCATCAGACACAATCCACAGCAGACACAGTCTGTTGGGTCGGACCAGGCCAGTTGGCCAGCCAGCCACCTGTTTGAAGGCTCTGTGGCCTAATCAGTTCATTTGAAACCCGAGCCTGAGCCATTCCTTTCCTAAGAAAGCAGCAGAGGGAGGATGCAGCTTTGGATGAGCAAGGCTTCATCAGTGGCAGAGGCCCTGTCCAGAGGTACAACACTTGTCCCTGCTGAGCTGATGCCTCTCTCCTAAGATGCTGGTTGGACAAGCCAGGGGAACCGTGGCGTACCAAGATACAGCCTAAGCATTCTCTCCACGCCTGTTTTCTGGGACTCTGGAAAGGACCCATTTGTTCAGGTCACTGTAGCCAAGGGTCATTCCCTTCTTCTTTTTTTTTTTTTTTTTTTTTTTGATACAGTATAGTGGAGTTTAGTGGCCCGATTCAGCTCACTGCAGCCTCTACCTCCCAGGTTCCAGCAGCTCTCCTGCTTCAGTCTCCTGAGTAGCTGGGATTACAGGCACATGCTACCAGGCCCAGCTAATTTTTTTTTTGTATTTTCAGTAGAGACGGGGTTTCACCATTTTGGCCAGGCTGGTCTCGAACTCCTGACCTCAGGTAATCTGCCCGCCTCAGCCTCCCAAAGTGCTGAGATTACGGGCGTGAGCCACTGCGCCTAAAAACCACTGGGACTAAAAACCACAGGGCTTGGCCGGGCGTGGTAGCTCAAGCCTGTAATCCCAGCACTTTGGGAGGCCAAGGCAGGCGGACCACAAGGTTAAGAGATCGAGACCATCCTGACCGACACGGTGAAACCCCGTCTTTATAAAAACAAAAACAAAAAAATCCCCACAGGGCTTGATAGTCCTCCCCATCCAGTGCTCAGCACCCCTGCCAATGTCTGTTCTGGCCTGACTTTCACCTAATACACCCTGTTCCACAGGGTCATCGCTGGTCATGGACTTGGGATTAAAAGGTATAAACAGGACTCTTAGTTCGCTCAGCCTCGGCCCAGACCCCTCTGCAGCACAACCCTCCCCTGAGCTGTCAACCTGCCAGTTAATTTCAAAGGCTGGGGAGTAATCCAGACCTGTGTGCCAGGGAGCTCAGCTCTGAGCTCAGGCCAGGAGGAAGGTCAGTGTCCGCAGTGTAGAGATAGTGCAGGAATGTGCGGGCGGCCTCAGTGCTCACGTCACCCAGCAGGACACGCTGGGTCAGAACTCCATCCTCTACAGCAGAGAAGCCTTCGTTGTTCACCTGAAGGTGAAATGCAACACAGAGGGTTTACTGGTCAGACAGTTGTAACTTGGAGCAAAGCAGACAGTCTCGGGTGTCCCGCAAGTCACTAGTCTTTTTATTTTTCTTTTTAGAGAACTTCCAGGAGTGTCTCCTCCTGTTGTCCAGGCTGAAGTGCAGTAGTGTGATCATAGCTTACTGTAGCCTTCAACTTCTAAGCTAATTTTTATTTTTATTTTGAGCTGGAGACTCACTTTGTCGCCCAGGCTGGAGTGCAGTGGCAAAATCTTGGCTCACTGCAGCTTCCGCCTCCCAGGTTCAAGCGATTATCCTGCCTCAGCCTCCTGAGTAGCTGGGATTGCAGGTGCATAGCACCACGCCTGGCTAGTTTTTTGTATTTTTAGTAGAGACAGGGTTTCACCATGTTGGCCAAGCTGGTCTCAAACTCCTGACCTCAGGTGGTCCGCCCTCCTCAGCGTCTCAAAGTGCTGGACTTACTGGTGTGAGCCACTGCACTGGGCCCCTAGGCTAATTTTTAATTTTTTTTGTAGAGATGCGCTCTATGTTGTTCAGACTGGTCTTGAACTCCTGGCCTCAAGCAATCCTCCCACCTTAGTTTCCCAAAGTACAGGGATTTAAGGCATGAGCCGCCGTGCCCGGTCCCTAGTCTTATAAGCAGCTGCATGCCCCAGATAAAGTGTTAGCCAGTGCTGATGCATATTTTTGCCCAATAATTTTACAGGTAAGGCTTCACACTTCTCTGTTATCAAATTGTATTGAGAATAGACATGCTAGGACCCAGTTAGATTCCTCCTGATAGACACATCTGGGCCCTAGAACTTTGACAGAGACTGAGAATAGCTCCCTGAGTTCCTGCTGACACTCAAGTCAAATGCTTTCAAGTCTGAAAACAAAAGGTTCACCAGCACCTCAACCCTGAAGAGATCAATTGTGAGCCTTTGTAATTATGCAAATAGAGAAAAGAGAAAACAATTCTAGGAAAAAATGAACTTTCATTCAACAGAATGAAAAAGCTGATGTTTCCCAATTCTGAGGCCACCCCCTCACACCCACTCCTAACCTCAAGCATAGGTCTTTATCTTCTCCACTGTTAGAGAAAGGGGGTGGGGGGGAGGGAGAGAGTGAGAACATGGTGAGGGAGCAGGAAGTGAGGGAGACAGGGATGGGGGGGCGGAGGCAGGGAAAGAAGAGCACCTGAGGCAAGGGGAGAGCCTAGTCAGAGACAGGTGGAGGGGGAGTGCATCGGGGGAAAAGGAGGGCATATGTACTTACATACTGGATGAGGAGCGGGCATCGGGCATAAAGCACGAACTTGTGGGCGTAAAGCACCTCCCCGCTGTCTGTCTGGAACTGGACGTCACTCAGGTGTGGGTTATTGACCATGGTGCCAAAGTCAGAAACCAGCAGCCCAAGGGAGAGCTGGAGTGGCAGGAGAGGAAGCGCCGTCACCTCGCCTACCTCTGCTCCTCTCCCTGGGCAGTGGGACGCTCCCCGCAAGGAGGTGGCACTAGGGTGGGCCTCAAGTCGGAACCTGTGCTCTCCCTTCCTCTCCAAAATGGTTCCCACAATGGGCTCCACCTCTGAGTGTCCCTAAAGCTGTGAGCGGCACAGAAGAGCAAAGCACTACATTGCTCCTCTGACTATTCCAGGGGGTTCCCTGGCACCTGTGGAGAGGCCAGACGTGGGGCTAGATGTAAACCCGCAGCACTGGCAGCTCCTGCGCTGCGTGGGCCAGGCCGCAGGGTACCTGGGCTCCGAGGAGGTGTATCCATGCCCTGTGATGGACTAGCACCCTGAGTCCAAGCAGCTTGGGGACCTGGCCAAGAGGACAGCCGGGTTCTGTGATGGTGTCCCCAGGCTGGCCCTTGGCTTGAAGTGCTTGGTTGACACTGACATGCAAATGAGAGGAGGTCCACTCTAGGGACAAGCCAGCTCCCACCCCGGGTCCTCCCCACACAGCACCCTGACATGGAGGCCAGTCCTGACTGTTCCGCTGTGGTCTGGA